ACTTATGCGTCACATTAAGGTGACGCGGTCCTGTGTGGGTCACCTTAAGGTGACCTGCTGACTTGCGCATCACCTTAAGGTGACACGGCCATGTGCGGGTCACCTTAGGGTGACTCGCTCGTGCACGGGTCACCTTGGGGTGATCCGCACACGCGAGTCATTCTAAGGTGTTTTGCATATTCCGACTTCTCCGGACTTATCTTGCTCTACTGTTTTATGTATTTTGTCATTCTGTTGACTCATACGCTTCATCAATTCTCCTCATGTGCTTGTCGATGTCAAATAATCTTATTTAACTCAAATAATGATGTTCATCGTCTTCTCTCCATCTCGAGCTGCGTGTAGGAACCCATAGTCTACTCCTCCTCAGCAATTGACCCCTCAACTAGCTCTTTCTCGGGCCTCATAGAAAACTTGTGGCCCTCTCATGACTCAGTATGTGCTTCCCCGTCAGTCTCAACCCTAGTTAGGGCTTCAGTTTCTGATGACTCCCAGATAGGAATATCTCCACTTATGGCCTCCCGCTTGGCCACGGCTACGGAGAATCACCCTCGACCACAACAATTTCAGGTGGAGGTTCTTGGGAAGTTTGTAGAGCTGAAACCCCACTAGTTTGTCCAGGTGAAGACTCAGCTTTCCCCAGCTCTGCCTCAGCTGCCTGGTCATCCAAGAAGAAAAGTCTCTAAGTGATTTCTCAGTCCGATGATGCTAATTCGAGGCTAGCTTCTTCCTCTTCTTCTTTTTGATCCTTTCAGCTTGAGTTGTAACTGATCCACAACCCTTCAATTTGGTTACAATCTCAGCCATCTTCTGACGTAGGGCCTGAATGTCCTCCTTAGCTAACTCTAGATGTAGGCTCTTCTAAGCTAGGACCGGCTTGAGGAACCTCTGTAGGGTCTGCCTCTAGTGCTAGCAGAATGGCCCGAGCAGAATGTTCTATTAGCTTAGAGTTACTTTTGTCCTGCAATATGTGAAAAATATTGGGTGAAATTATTACAAGCTTCTCATGTCCAATTAAATTAAATTCATTGTTATGATAGAATTAATACCTGAGCTCATGTTTTAAGCGTCTCTTCATCTAGGATTACCATATAGTTTTTCTCGTCCCACCCAGCACCACTTATATTGGTGCAAGACTTCATATCATAAAATTTAGTTCTCCAAGTTTTATTGTGATTAATCTCATGAAGGTGAGTGTAGTTGGTTTTGAATTTCATGTTCATCTTCATAACTGCTATTTTGTAAGCTTCATCTTTAAAGTTTTTATCAACCTCCATTCAGGTATCCACGAGTTCTGCAAGACACGGTATAAGCTCCGCATCATACTTGGAGATCCACCACATGTTGGAAACCCCCTTCATATTAAGGCTAGTAGCTACTCTTGTTGCAGGCACTTTTCTCTTGTGAGTTTTTTTGGAGGGTGATACTTGCTAACTCACATCAATGAAATTACTTTGAGGTCCACCGGATTCACCAGTGGTTGGTGACATATGTTGTGGACCACTACTTTGAGAACTCAAAGCTGGAATAAACAAGCCTTATGGACTGTTCAACATGTTAGTGTATGGTACATATTGTTGGGTCATCCCACTATAGTTTCCTTCAAATTGTGTGAATTGCGGAAAAGAAGTGGTCATTGTATGTGGTGGAATGAACGGTTGATGCTGATATGGCATAAAGTTCATATTAATACCGCCTAAATCATTTGGTGGTGCAGGTGGTGAAGAGGGCAAGTTTTATTTTTCCCCGTCTTTGTTAGACATACCTATATGCAATAATAATAAAGAACCAAAAATACGTAGAACAATCTAAGATAGTTAATTTAGAATTACATAACATCAAGGGATGAAAAGGTACAGTATCCATACAAGCACAATTATGAAGTACTAAAATACATAATGAAATATACGAAAACAATAAAACTACAAGCCAGTTTTCATGGTATAACCATCTTTATACTTTGCACAATAATCAACCCACATTGCCCATGCAATTTGGTCCCTAAGGTCATTCTATTCATTTTTTGCATCACGATCCTCTCTTTGTGTCCTGATTGAGTGTAGTCAACTGCATTTGTATCACCTTCATTTGTCACCTCCTCATTCTCCTCATCAATTACCAACATCCTCATTCAAATTGTCATCTTATGGATCTTCAATTGCAATAAAATTATGCAATATAGTACACACTAAGAAGATTTCCACTTATGTGGGGAATGGATAATTAGGTTTCGTTGAAAGTATTTTGAACTGATTTTTTAATGTACAAAAGGTTCATTCAATTTTAGACAGTAATAAAGAGTGTCTTAAAGTTAATAACTTCATACTATTTCTGGGTGTCTTACCTATTTGTTCCTTTAAATGATAACATACACCATAGTATAGAGATGAAGCAAGCATGGTAGTGTATCCAGCGTCACAAAGGTAATATTTGCCTACATTATAAAAAAATTCATGATCAATTCGATCATATTATTTAGTTAACTATTTATTAAATGAGGTAGAAGAATACCATTATATACTCTCAGTCCATAAGGTAGTGGTCTGGACAACACGTCTTGTAAAACCCTATAGTCATTTGCCACACCTTCCCACCCAACTAGGATATATGTGAAAAGTTTATTTGGACTACATGCAGCTAAAACGTTTTACATTACACCTTTACATCCTATAAAGCGTGCAACTACGTTAGAAGGTAACATTGCGTCAATGTGTGTTCCATCTATCATTCCAATGCAATCTTATCAAAATAGTACATTGTTCAAAATATTAGTTTCTCATATTATTAAATTATGCAAATCATTAACTCAAACAATTTATTTCTTTCTTACCTTGATGTGAGGGAAATAGTTTGCATTGTTGGCAACCTCCGGTGGAATCTCATTAGGTGTTTGCTTCGTATATCGATCGCAAAGACCATTCATAGCATGTAGGACTTTATTAAAGTACCTACTAACTGTTTCGCCAGATCTTATGAATTCAATCCTTATTACTCTATTTTTGGTTTTATGACCCACTATGCTCATGAACATAGCGAGTTGTTCTTCAACTTGAAGGTGTCTTGTGTCCTTTGAAAGACCATTATTTCGCATTATATCCGCAAGTTTAAAAAATGCTTTAGGCCTCATTCTAATAGAAGCCCTACAACTATCATTATATCCTTCGAAGACACGCTTGGAGTGGGCATTTCTACAAAAAAAAAATCTTATTTTATTCTCTCTTGAATCATTACAAATTGATTTGCGCCTACCATGCATTCTCAATAACCAAGCTATTATTGTAACCACATAAGATATAGTCGTATTATCACACATCCCCTTTATTTTTTCTTCATCTACATCATCTATCTATATTCGTTACAAAGCAAAAATAGTTTAAGACGTTTATGCAACAATGATGAATGACAAAATTTTGAACAATAAACTTATCAACAAAATTCTTTTACTTACATTTTGAATAATAATTATGATTGACACCATAGAGACCTACTACATTGAAAGTTTAAAAGTTATCAATCAATTTTATTTGACATCTATCAATTTCTTCTAGTACTAAGATTTGATGGACCTAAATCATGACCTTACACTCCTGAGTCCTATACTTACAGAAAAAGTGTATTTTTGCACACACACAAAAAAAACTGAGTTTCCCATGTTTTGAGATATTTGATAACCTTCCAAACTTCTATATACTTCTATCAAGTTTGGAGTATTTTAGAAAAGCCCCGTAAAACCACAAAATTTTCATGCATGGAAAACAAGCATCAAATTTTAGCGTTCTTTTCATGCATGGAGATGCAAGATTATTGCAAGAACTAATGCATGTGGGACTAAACAAATGGAGAGGGTTTGGTTAATTAACATAGATCGAAATAAACTGCATAAATTAAAAATTTTGAGTACAATAAACAGTTCATTATAGAAAATTGAAGAAATGAACAAGACTGAGCACTATTGAAGAAATTGAAGAAATTGAAAAAATTGAAAAAAAATCGGCCAAATTTCAACCACAAATCTACCGATCGAAAATGGGGTTTAGGGTTATTTACCTCAAATCGGCGTAGAACTGAGTACTCGAGAAATCCGATGAGGAATCGATCGACAAAAACCGATTCTTTAACCAGAGAACCGAATTAAGAACCCCCAAATCAACCGCACCACAAAAAACCAAGACCGAAGAAAATCGATGAAGCTCAAGCTCGAGCAAGCGATAATGGCGAAAAGACCTAAGCACGAGATCAGGAGAAAGACTAAAAGGCGCGAAGGAGTAGGTTCGTCGTTGGATTTGGAGGTGGGAATGAGAGGGGGAAAAACCCTAGATTTTCCGCCCTCAATCGACCACGAGAAAAGTTTTCAGCTGGGAAAAAGGGTACGGGTAGGGCAGAAATC